AATCCTAATACTGCCACCAACATGAGTAATGAAAACAGGGAAGGTTTTGCATATGTTGTCCCCATTCTCTCTCTATCCCCCATATTTTTTAGTATATTTTTATATACTATTCTCTCTTCCTTTTAGCCTTCATTTAGTCATTATCTGCTAAGGAATCTATATTTACAGTTCAGCATCAGTCCTTACATTGGTATCACTCTGGTCACTTGGTTACCTGAAGCTCATTTTCTAACAGATTCTTCAGAATAGGCTCATGAGTCCTTGTGCTGCAAAGTAAGTTTTACTAGATATCAAATGTTTGGCTCATACTTTTTTCCCTTAAGAATCTTAAATATGTTAACTTATTTTCTTTTAGCATGAAACGTTGCTATTGTAAAGTCTGATATTTAATTATAATCCCTTATAAATCATGTGTTCTTTTCTCCATTAAATATCCAAAGGATATTTTATTTTTTATTAAAATCCAGTAATCATACTAGAATATCTTGGTATTAATAATTCCAGGTTGATATTTTTAGGTTTATAATGAACTTTTTCAATATGCAAGTTCGAGCTCTATTGTTTTAGAAAAGTTTTTGTGAATTATAATTTTTAACATTTCTTTTGGTCCCTTGATTTAGTTTTCTTCTTTTATTCCTTATGTTTTTAAGAAATTCTTCTATCTTGAGGCCATGAAACCATTCTTATTTTATTCTGAAAGTTTTAAAGCTTTAACTTTCGCTTTTATATGTTGTTAACAGCCCTGGGATAGTGTGTATAAAAGTTTTTTCATGAAAACAGGAGAGAAATTTATGCATTTCGGTACCAAAAAGGTTGTTCTGAGCAATTGTTTACTTGTATCTCCTGGAATTACGAACTAGTCTGATTCATATCTAGTGTCTGTTTCAGACACGAGAAATGTAAAGGTGTAGCAGTGGCTACATTAGGAGGTTACTGTATTTCTACACACAGCTGGGTCGGAAAGTACAGTGGTTCTTGTGGACCAGATGGATACCTTCCAGATAAAGACAACACCCAAGACATCTCTTCAAAGGGACTATTTTCCCCAAGAGATATAGAGCCATATAAAGGAGCAATGGGATTCCAGCAGAAAGAATCTTGAGTGGGTGAACACATCAGATGCCCATACCTAAGTGTTGGTTGAAGTCCTAAGTGGCCAGCTGGTAAAAAGGCAATCTGAGAATACTGTTATTGGAGATCCAGACAGAGGAATCTAAAGAACTGCCTTAAATATCAGTCAAAGCCCCAAAATGCTACAAGAGTAGACTGTTACAAGAGTGACCATGTAAACCTGGGTCTTTTTCCTCAGTCCTTTCTACCCTGGTCAGAGCCTGGAGGATCAGAAATTGAAGCTAGCTGACTCGGCACTGGGTGAGGAGCAGTAGAGCAAGATAGGAAAACAAAGGACAAGCCAACCACTGTAGGCCCCTCAGCCTGCAACAGAGGTAACATTATGGAGTTGAGTGATTATAAATGGTCCAAAGGCTTTGAATATATAAAGTGAGGCTGTTCTTGTGCCAAAAGGTGACCAGATGATGTTTTATTATTTGAGAATGACTGGAAGAATGACTGGAAAAGTCATGGGACCCATCTGTGAAATCATATAAAAAGTGGAGACAAAATAATCCATTGAATAGACTTGCATAGCAGCAACAAAAACAAAGCTCACTTTTGTTCACCCTATCAAGTTGTTTCCATTTAGTAAAATGATTATATATATTCATCAAAAATGAATTTATGCTGATTATCAATTGAAAGAAGCTAAGAAATACAAGGTTAGATCATATGTGTACTTAAACCAAAGCCTTTGTTTACAATTTCCTAGTATCTGAAGTCAATCAAACCTTCAAACTCCTGAGCAAGTCTCGCCTCTTCCATGGAGACTTTCCCAGCCATCCTGATGCTGACTGTGGGGACTAATAGAGATGATGTATGTAAAGATTTAGGCACATGCTAAGCTGTTAACAAATGCTGGCTGTTGTTATGCTTGTCTTTGCTATCACAGTCTGAGAGATAACACTGCATGGTTGATCATACTGTATTTCTTTTCTCCAACTACTCTCAAAGTTTCCTAGAAAGGAAGGACATACCTTACACTTACTTTACATTCATTCATCAGATTACTGGCCAGAACTTTGTACTTAGAATTTTTCAAAAATAATTGATAACTGATCATAGGTAGGTAAGTGGTATTATGAAATCACAATTAAAATGCTTTGGGGCAGGCAAGAAAAGCCCATCAGCAACCCTGAAATCACTCTTGCTATTAGCCCAGTGTACTTATTATTTCCTCTATGGTCTCAGATTTCTCATTATCCATAGAATATCTTTCTGTCCTGAAGTCTCCTAATATGAAACATTAGGCCTTTAAAAATTGTATTATTGTAAGTTATCAGACTTTGGGAATATTTTCTTTAGAATGGTATTCAAGTTCAAGGAGAGCCACATGACCCAACTGGATGATGCACTGCTGTGTGTAAAGCTGCCTCTAAACAGCATAAGAATGTTATGCACAGACAAGGAAAAGAGCTGGTGAAGAAGACAGAAAAGAAATGTATGGTTTGCCTGGTTTTAAGTGTAATTTAACAGACTTTCCAATTCAACATTTTTAAAAAGGTCTCTTGCTTATCAAATACTTAATTTAGTCAAGTAATTCTTGATTTCAAGAATTTAATTTACAAACAATATCCTTTTAAAATCCAGCGCTGGCAAGTAGACATCTTCTTGTTTGACAAATTATGGAAACTGAGGCTCAGAAAAATTGTTTGTTCAATTTAAGCTTCATGCTTGGTTTTTTTATGCTTGTATTTTATAAACATGTATAATATTATTTACCAGAAAAAGAACCTTTGCTTTTCCTAAGTATTATTTCCTACATACACATAATACATGGTTGAAACAATGTTAAAAATGGTTATAGAACATTTTAATGGTCTTTGGATATATTTACTTTCTTCTTAATCCAGTTACTTAGTGTCTACTCTAAGTACCATGAGAGCAGAGATTGTGTCTTTTATTACATTATTGTATAAAAACTTAATTCTTTCACTATTCTACAAGTTATAGTTATTTACCATACAAACTATTCAGTACAAATGAAACATTAACCCCAAAGATGAAAAGTAGAGAAAATTAAAATGTACTGGTTTCTTGATGATAGGAGACACCATTCTTTTCTAATCTAATGTTTTCCAAATTCCAGACAAAATGGGTTTTCTCTATTACATAAATCTGTATATGATGCGCCAAAAATAAAAACAAAAGTAAAAAAGCACTAACTGGAAATTTTAGCTCCAAGTCCTCATTTAAACCTAATATTGATGATTTAAAAGCAGTTTAGAAGAGTTATATAAAATTATTCTTGAACAATAACAATTTCAAATTAACATACATAAGTAAAAGACATCTTATATTTTAAGCTTTACCACAGAGAATCAAAGGCAATCAATGAAAGATAATAGTTGTTTCTAATAATTTTTAAATAAAATGTCAAGAAGTAGATGAGAAAAAAAAAGTCAGTTTATTGTTTTGATTTTTAAAATAACTACACTGGGTATGGTGGCTCACGCCTATAATCCCAGCACTTTGGCAGGCCAAGGGTGGGAGGATCACTAAGTCCAGGAGTTTGAGACCAACTTGGCTATAGTGAGACCCCATTGCTATAAAAAAATTTTAAATTAGCTGGGTGTGGTGGTGCATGCCTGTAGTCCCAGCTATTCAAGAGGCTGCAGCAAGAGGATCACGTGAGCCCAAGAGTTCTAGGATGCACTGAGCTATGACTGTGCCACAGCACTCCAGGATGGGCGAAAAAGTGAGACCCTGTCTCAGAAAAACAAACAACAACAACAACAACAAAAACTGGAAAACCCAAAAATACCCTTAATTATATTCATTAAAGAGATATAACACAGGCCTGCTCCAAAGAGGAACAAAGTTCTTAGAATATATTGGTTGTTTTGCACTAAGGTGAACTTTATTTTGATCATAAAAAACTTCCATTCTTCTTTTTTTTTTTTTTTTTTTTTTTTCTTTCTTTTTTTTAATTTTGCTTGCCACCTCTCCATCTGGAAGCCAGGGCATGACTGCTGGTGGGTGGTGACAGGCACACAGCGGGCAGAGCCCTATCTTTGGCAGGACGGAGGTGGCAGCACCAGTCCCCGCCACATCCTCAATCCACAGACACCCACCAGCCTCCTCCATGTGGCTCCCACTGGAGGGGTTGGGGTTAGAACAGATGGTCCCAATGGCTGAGCAATCAGCACTCCTCCTGGCCTTCCCACCGGGACTACCTCTGCACCCTTCTCAAGAGAAAGGACAGTCTCACATTGGGCCAGAAACCACTATTACATGAGGGATGGACACTATACATTTAGAATGTGGACACTTGGTCAGGGCAGTGGAACTATAAAGATAGCAGCCAATTTTCTTCCTTACCCACTCCTGGAGATAGTTCTCCCTCTTACTTACTGAAGCTCTGTTCCAGCTCTGCTCAAGGAAAATTCCTGGCTTCACACAGCTGTAAAGCTGTGCTATGGACCAGTCACTGACTCAACTGGCAGCTGGCCCTTCCTCCTAAGGGGAAGATATAGCGAGACATGGCTTGCTGGGCCTGGCCTACCATTCCCACAGCTCCTGCGAGGCGGAGAGCTAGGTGAACCAAAAGTGGAGGGAGCCAGTGAAACTCAGCTTGCCACCTTGGCCACCATGTGCTGCCCCAATCGCAAAACCAGACCAACCACTCCAAAACTTATCTGCTGGTTAGGAGTGGGGAGGCCATCTGGCTGGCTAAGGGATAAGGTGCAGTACAAGAGAAGGGACCAGAAAGCCTGAGAGGTTGTACTACATACACAGAGCTGCTCTAGGCAGCTGCCTCTTCCACCTCTAGGAGCCAAAGCAAATCTCCAGGGACAGAGGAAGAACTGCCTTCATTCCAGGCCCTTGCTCTGGAAAAAGGGGTGAAGGGTAGCCTAGGTCTACAGGGAACCAGTCTGTCACCAATCTTTGCAATGCAAAGCTTTTCTTTTCCCAACTTTATTCAGAATGGTCTGCTCCCAAGGTACTGATTTCACACAGGAAATGTACCAAGTAAAGCTACTGAGCTAGGGCCATTAACAGAGATGGAGCACCGCAGATCCTTACGAGTTCAAGCCTTGCTGGAGTGGGAAGATCTAGTCACCTTTTGACCACATTAGGCAGAAGGCTCAGGGTCCTGGAGCCAGACTCTCCCCAGTCAGCAAAATACTGAACAAGTCTCCGAGTCCTTTACTTCTAAATTCAGGAGTGCAGTCTCACTCCCTGATGCTACCTGCCTTCTTCTAGAAGTAGCAAGCCTGGCTGGTAGGGAACCACCCTGAGGGATATGGGAAGGGGAAGTCTGTTCACTTTCCCTATCTCCCAAAATACTAGAGGTGGGGTTGGCACCCTCCCCAGGCTCTCTGAGCCTACAGAGCTAGCCCAGTCTCCAGGCAAGGCCAAGATGCCCTGGGACTTAGCTGGGGGAGGGAGGTATAGGCATGGGGTGCTCATCTGTCCTGGGGGCTGCAGAGCCCTGCCCCTTTTCTGGGCGGCAGTAGGAATACAGAAGCTAAGCTCACCAAAATCCTATTGGTTAATGTTTCTAGTGAACGTCCCAGAAACATTTTTTAAGTAGACTACCAAACTACCTTTTCTCAATTAAAAATTCATTAAACTGCTAAAATCCCTCCCATGCGCTTTTTCTTGCAAATCAGATATTTGTATAAACAAACAAAAATAGGAAAAAAAAAAAAAAAAGAAAGGATATTTCAAATGGAACTTACTTTTTAAGTGATGAAGACATGCACTTGGGGGTGGGTGGGTGGGAGTTCTCATTTGTGTTTTGAAATCCCAAATTAATGAGCATGATAAACTGTTATTGCTGGCACTGGCTTTACCCCAAGTGGCCAAGTGGCACTGTCTGACTCTCTACTCTGAGTCCTTGGTGGGTCCCCCCAACCATCCCCTAATTCCCACCCTTTCCCTTTCCATTGACTTGGGACAGCCCTTGTCGACATGCCAATCACAGTGGGAAGAAGGGAGAAGAGGGGAGGTCACAATGCATGGGGTTCAAGGTCACAGTGGGCGGAGCAAGGGGGATCACAGTGCAAGTAAGTCAGGTCGTTCCCTCTGCTCAAGTCCAGCTGTCTGCCACGGCAGTGCAACCCGTGGCGGACGACCCAGGAGGCGGTGACGGCGGCAGCGGCGGCATCCTTTCTTGCCTGCATTTATCTGCGCTGTTTGAAGCCTTGTGACCCATCAGGACCCAAAGGCTGTCTGATCACATTATTGGGCTGCCTGCTTTCTTCTGGCTGGGAGATCCTGGTTGGCCTGTCGAGGATGGGTTTCTCCTGCTCCTCCTCAGGGCTGGCACTGCCCAGGATCCACTTCCGGGCCTCAGCGTACTCTGCCTCCCGCTGTGCTAGGGACTTGACAGGAAGGGCTGGCCTGCTGGTGGAGTTGGGGCTGCTGACCACACCGTTGCTGGTGGGCCTCTTGAGGATGCGGATCTGTGGAGGGGGCCCCGTGGGAAGGCTATCGTCCTGAATCACAATGGGCACTTTGGGAGGAGATTTGGATTTCCTGCTCTCCTTTTGTGTGATCTTCAGTTTTTTTTCCAACCGTCTGTCTATTTCCCCGCTGTCTGCCGCCTCCTCCCAGCTCTCAGCGACCTCCTCATCTTCCATCTTACTCGCCGCTTTTCCCATTCTTCTTCTTATCACAAAGGCTGAAGCAAATATGTTCCAGCTCTCAAATGTGACTATTTGTGTTTTGGGGATAAAGGGAACTTTGCACCCTTATTTATGACTTCTTCTTATTTCTCTACAATAACCCCATTCAGGGAAATAAAAGGAACATTTGTTTCACTGATTCCATCTAAGCACATTATAAAAGGCAAGATCACTGCCAGAAAATCTATACTTAAACTACTGGAATGTAAGAGGACTGAGCAATCCCTTATAGAACATGCAGAGGTCAGACTTAACACCCCAGCTAGTCCTCAACATGCTCTGGAATAAGAGCATCTGGTGATTTTTGAGATATTAATAGAGCAGGGTTATGGGAAAGCTACTCAGATTTGCCATTTCATTTTGCATGTATGCATGTAAATAAATTCAGTATATATGATTGTCAAACCCCAGTGATACAGCTAGAGAAGTGAAGTCTCAAAGGTGGAAAACAAAATGGTAAAGGCAAGACAGACATGGGGAATAAGATGACTAAATTGTATTGTCATTACTTAACATGCCATTATATCACATGTATTTTTAAAGGAAATTTAAACAGGGTAACATAATTTGGATTGTTTTATGGACTAGAACTGTAGGAAACATTTTATTTTATGTGTTCCAAGCTCAATTTGTTCACTGAAAAGAAACCACAAAATAATAAAGAAAATCAAGCTCAGGAAACAGAATATTTGATTGTGAAATATATTTTCTTATAGGAGAGTCTCCTGAATCTGAGAATGCTGTAAAATTACTCATTCTCTATTTACTGCATAACTATTATGCTCCCTTGGCAAGGTAGGACATAGGTAAATATTAGGGATGCGTATTAGAGTAGACATAAAAACTAAAGCCAAGTGTCTTGAATTCAAGGAGTTTACAATTTTATCTGTGCTACAACAATTTGAAGAGCAGAGTTAAAAGGAAAAACTGGCAGACAGCTCTTTTCATGGACATTCAACTATAAAACAACCTAGCTTTTCTCTTTAAAGAAAGAAGAAATTGCTTCCACCAGCACACTGGAGAACTTCTCTGTGGTATCTGATGACAGCCTATCTTCAAATCTCTGTAAAAGTCAGACTGATTATTAATACACTGGATCAGAGTTCAGCTTCCATTTTGTCATACAGCCTTAGTGAAACTGCCTCTTTATATTTTTCTATTGGTTTGTTAGTAACAAAATCCTCCTGGATGTTATTCATATTAGAGTTGCTGTATATTAAATTTTATTCTAAGTTAAATAAACGTTATTAAATTTTGTCCTAGATCATTCTATTAAATAAGTAAATTTTATTTTAGGTTATATAAACTATTTCAGGATTCATTAAATAACAAGAGAACAAATACCACAACTTGAACACTAGGGATGATAAAACTCAGATCAGGCCTGACCAGGGTTTTCAATAACATAGACAAGTTGTTTATATAGCTGTGAGGCAGGTTATATTGTTTCATTGTTTTTTTGCGTCCTTGTATATTAGTGCAATTAGTTCAATATTTAATAGGAGCCCAACAATATTCACTGAATAATAAAAAGTATGTGAACAGATATCTGGAAATATCACTGGTTCTGAAATACTGCTGCTATGTAGACAAGTTATGACTATTCCTCCTAAAGTTAAAATTGCCATTCTATATAAATAATGTTATGAATAATAGAATCTATTATGTATCAGATATTTTACAAACAATATCCTTTTAAAATCCAACGCTGGCAAGTAGACATTTTCTTGTTTGACAAATTATGGAAACTGGGGCTCAGAAAAATTGTTTGTTCAATTCAACCAATGCAGGAAGTAGGGGATCTGGGATTAAGTCCTGGTCATTCAGATCTTTCTATGGCACACACACAGAGACCTGTAGGCAATGGGTTATGTAATTATTCCTTGAAATTATGATAAGAAATCAAATACATTCTCTGTCTGGCAAGTGTATATTTCGTTACTGGTATCCATTAAAAAAATAAAAGGATATATTTCTTCCTGCCTGACTAGAACATGTGCTTGTATTTTAATAAGAGTACCAAAGGTGACAGACTGAATTTACAGCTATAGTATAGTCATGCGGCTCAGCAAAAGGAGCAGAGGGTGCTTCACCTTGCAGAAGACAAAGTTAGGCAAACTCTAATGAGCAGCATTTTCTAGGAATCCATCTGGGCAAGGGAGTATCACTGCCAGGAGGATTCACAAACACCTCTAGAAGCAAGACAGAACATCACTGTTGTGTCTTCTAGGTTATTTCTGATGTCTGGAGACAAAAAGCATGACACTGGTTCAGAAAAGGGTCCTGCCTTTATTACCATCATTGATACTCTCAAATTAAATGGACTTCTTAAAAATCAGACTCATCCTCTTAACTGTGAAGAACTAGAAAATATAGGTAAAATACAAAAAGGATCTTTTTTATGGCATCTTAAGAGGGCAAGATATGAAGAAAGGTACAGAGAAGTATGTCCCTATCCAACTGCTTTTCCCCTTGTCTCATTTGCCAATTTGGAAGCAGTTTCAGAGAGTGAGATGTCAAACAGAAAATGGCAGCTAAGAAGCAGAGAAGCTGAGAAGAACTTGTATCACGGAGCTTGTGTCAGAAGTATCATGGTTGAGAAAGTAAAAATTTGAGTTCAGGGCCCACCAAGGAGGGAATGCCTTTGAAAACACCCCAGCCTTTTAGTTGGGACACAAAAAGGGCCACCCCAGGAGTAAGAATGAACCTGAAATAGACCAGACCTAACAAAAACTAAAAACCAGTTTGAAACCACCTCAATCCCATATTAGATTAAGGTGCCCTGCCCTTAGCCTAGCTTCCTAAAAGAAGCAAAAGTAAATCCTTTATTTTAGAAGTAAAAAACATTGCTCAGAATCTATATATATATTTCATAAATAAATACAACATTTCCATTAAGAATTCCTGGACATACCAGAAAACAGGAATAAGAATAAGGAAACAGACAATAGAAACAAGATACATAGATGATCCAAATATTAGAATTATCAGGCAAAAACTACAGAATTTCACTGGAGAAGTACAATCTATAAACAAGAATCAAATGAAACTCTAGAACTGAAAAATACAATGACTTAATAAATAACTGAAAATTTAAACTAAAAAATGCATTTATACTAAGATAAAATACAAACTATGAAATACTTAGGAATAAATTTAACAATATATGTGGCAAGACCTATATGATTAAAATTAGAAACACAAATTAAAGACCAAAATAAATGGAGACGTATGCCATGTTCATAGATTGAAACTCAATTTTTAAGAAGTCAATTCTCTCCACACCGTTGAAAAAAAAATTTAACAGAATCCCATTAAAAATCCCAGCAGGCTTTTTTAGAAATTGAAATGCCAATTCTAAAATTTATATTAAAATGTAAAGGACTTAGAATGGCCAAAATAATTTTGAGGAAAAAGAAAGTTGGATGTCTTTCACTACATGATTTTAGGATTTATAAAACCACAATAATCAATAGTGTGGCATTGGCTTAAGAACAGACATATATTTATCCATGGAACTGAAAAGAATAGAAATTCAGAAAATCATTTGATTTTTGACAAAGGTTTAAAGATACTTCAATGAAGGAAAGGATAATCTTTTCAACAAATGCTAAGAACAACTAGATTTTCATTTTGAAAAATATGAATATCAACTCCCATTTCTATATCATACAAAAATTACTTTAACCAGATCATAAACACAAATAAAACATACTGGGATTAAAAAATAAGAGAATTTTATGAGCAGCTTTATGCTTATGAACTTGAATGCTAATGAACTTGAATGTTTAGATAATTTGTAAAAATTCCTAGAAAAATACAACTTATAATAAAAGCTATTCTTCAAGATACTACTAAGAAAAAGGCAGGCCACAAACTGGGAGAAAAATCGTCATACACACTTTTTTTTCCCAGATTAATATGTAAATTCCTACAACTCAATTATAAGCAAGTAACTTGGTTTAAAAATGGGCAAGTTTTGAAGAGACTTCACAAAAATGAGATAACACCATATACCTACCTACTCAATGGCTAAAACTAAAGACTGAGAACACCAAGTGTAGGCATTTGATAAAAAGGCTCATCACCCTTTTAAACTATAGTTCTCCCTCATCCTCCAGGAGTATGTCCCAAGTTTCCCAGTGGAAGCCTGAAACCTCAGATAGCACTGAAACCAATACATACTGTGCACAAATTTTTTTCCTTCTTCACAATTTCATTGATGTAGATTCTTTTTTATCATGGATTTTAGTGCCTGACCTCGGCTTAATTCCTTAAATTGGAAACTTTCATTTTTTCACTTAAAGGCTCCTTTTTGGCATATCCAAATTGTCAGCATCAATATTTTTGCACTTTGGGGCCATTAAGAAAAATAAGGGTTACTTGAACCCAAGCACTGCAATACTGCAACATTGATCTGGTAACTGTGACACATGGGCGGGAAGCGCTAGAGAAAGGAATGATTCATGTGCTGGGTGGGATAACATGAGATTTAATGACACTACTCAGAATTTCCACCAATTTAAAACTTATGAATTATTTTTGGAATTTTCCATCTAATATTTTTGGCCCTCAGTGACTGAGGACATCTGAAACCATGCAAAGAGAAACCATGGATAAGGGGACTATTATAGAGGGGAGATGTTTAAGAAGTGCAGATGCAGGTAGATTAAACGATGGGAACACGAGAGAATTCTTGGCTTACAGTTGAAAAGAAAGTGGTGATTGAGGAAAGAAAAGAATGAAATATATGACTTACAGAGGGAGAGAGCAAACTAGAGAAAAGGAGTAGGAGGGCTGATCAATGTGCAGAGCCAAGTAAGGTGTCAGAGCACACTAGTTCACCTAATTGTTCACCTACTGGGGGTAAGCACAGAAAGCATAAATGCATCGAGGCATTAATCCATGGTTTGGGTTTTGCCAGGCCAAGTGCTAGAAGTCAGGGATAACAGTTGAGGACATTTGCAGAGGACTGATTTAAATGCCACTATTTCTGAATACATATATTATTTTTTAAATTGTGAAGAGCAACGTTAGTTTAAGTTGTTAGTACAATGGTGGCAAAATGAAGCAATATCCCAATTTAAGGTTGGTTGTACACCAGGGAAGATGGGGTCGTAGAGAAAAATTAAAGAAACCAATTAAACGGGATCTAGCCAAAACCGAAATATGTAATGATGAAATAAACTTATTCCTTATTCCACATATTTATTTTGAGCTCTAAAAACCATTTGGCCCTTGTTTTCCAAATCAGCCTTTTTCCAGATCTATTGAGGCTATGACGCTGACCTTTTTCACATGTTTTCTAATATCTTGCTTCCTTCTTGCCCTATTTCTGATCAGTCTTTAATGACACTGCATTATTGCCCACACTTCCCCCTTAGCTTTTACATAAATATATGTCATGGTAATCCTCAAGCCACAGCTTTCTTTACAACATCTACTACCAAGACCATCAAAAGGTTTTACCAAAAAACAGTAAAATGTCCTTACTTGGCTACTCCTGACAATCTTTCTTGTATTTCCCGGTCCACTGCTGTTTCTCTCAGAATATCTGCTTAAAAGTCTCTATTCCTTTCCCTTTGGCTTTCACAAGTACTCTTTTATATAAGCCACAGTCTGCAAAAAGCTCTGAAATCCAAAGATAAAAGTGTTAACAAAGGCTGAAGAAACTTTCTGGGAGAAATGACCACCTCGTGCAGCTGACAATTTTAGAATTAGTCTAAAATTAAAGTGTGGATACAGATAGACACAATTTATTTTTGCAATATACTTGGTTGTTTCCATGCTGTATCTAAAAACAAAACAAAACTAATGCACTTTCACAAGTTACTATGGTCCATCTAGTACAAGTGATTTTCCTCTATCTTGTAAAAGTAAAGGGACAAAATTTTCCTTTGGAACACATCTGCACAGGCGACCTTCCGTTAAAATTTTTAAAAGACTAAGGCCACACCACAAAACGCAGAATTAAAATTGTGTATTCTGACAAAAATAAAAAGTCAAATTTTCTTAACAGAGTCACTGCTAAAAACAAAAACCCGGAAGACATGCTTCCTTAAATAATATAAAATGTTGCCGGGTCCACACAAATAGTCTGTTTGCCGGCCTGACAGAAACAAACAGACCTGGTGGACCAAGCTGGTTCAGAAAGACTTAGGCTGGGTCCATGCCAGCGCTGGGACCGCGCCTAGCAAGCATTTGGATCGCTTACGACTAAGAGGAAAATACAGCTCGAGTTTTTACCTCATATACCATTAACTTTCCACAAAGATTTCCAGAAAACTGACGCACAGCCAGTAACCCAAACCCTGTGGGCGGGAGTTAAGACAAAACCCATCACGCCACCATTTCCGCCTAGCCGGGCCAGCCAACGTGCAAAGATGGAGACAGACGTACACGCCGGCCGTGCCTACGTCCCCAACGTGCGCAAGCGCTTCGTGAAGCCCCCGCCCACTCCTGTGCTCCCGCCCACACAAGGCGCGCGCACCAGCAACCAGCGCCCGCAGGCGCCGCCCCGGGCTTCCGCCCCGAGGCCGGACGGTTGCCGCTCGGTTCCGGTTCTAGCCCCGCCCTCACGCGGGAAAACTCCAGAAGTCTTAATATCCGGGACCAGAGGCTGGCGCCTGCGAGCATTTCCGGCGACGGGCTCAGAGGAAAGGATCCGGTTACGCCTCTTTCCCTCTCCCCAGTGGCCCAGGCTCTAGCTCTCGGTGCGGTAGCGCCATCTGGTGCCGAGTCTCACGTCGCCCACGAAGGGGGCGCGCGCCCTTCTCTCCGAACCTTCCAGAGAACTCGCGGCCCGGGCTTTCCATTCTCCCGCCCTCGAGGTGGGTAGGGGGACCTGAGTCTCCGCCCAGCCCAGTTCCCGCGCGGGAGGTACTCTGCGCTGACTCAGAAGCGGAAGCCGCTCATATGAGGAGCTTTATACGCCCAAAATGGAGGGGAAAGCGCATTCTTTTTCTGGTTTTTAAGCCCGGAAAAAACGGTCCCCTCTTCTATGCTTTCTTCTTGGACCACTCCCAGTCATCCCCACATCGACTCTTTCGTCTGTGGGGACTGGGAGCCTCCATTTCTCGTTTGGTAGAAAGATGGTACAGGCTTTGTGACTTAGATTGGCCTCTGCTGCAGAAGCTTTTTGTTTCCTTTCACCGATGAAAGTGGTGTTAGGAACCCATTGAGAGGCAGGAACTTAGTAGGAAGTTTACTTTAAAACAAGCTAAAAACCAGGAAAGTAGCCTCAGAAGTGCTCCAACTAAATATAGTTTGTTTGCATGGCATATTTCTTTTAGATAGTAAATGATTCCCCCACAAATTAGTAAAATGGACATAAATTTTACTCTAATGAGTTCTTGCTTGTAAACTTAGATTTTCCTCGTAGTTTGTAGGCCTAACAGTATTAGGTTCTGTTTTCAGTGTTTTATTGGAATTGTGCTTTGGGTATCAAAATATATAGTGAAAGTTAGTGACATTTCCCTGAGTATTCAGATATTAACATATATTAACTTGACTGCTCCATTGGGCATTTCTCCTATAGCAGTGGTTCTCAAATTTGAGCACGTATCAAAATTCTCTGGGAGGCTTCTTAGAACACAGATTGTTGAGCCTCAACCCCCGACTTTAAAACTGAGAGGAAAGGTCTTGGAGTAGAGTTACATAATTATAGGTCTGGTAAGTTCTCAGGTGGTATTGATGTTGTTGATGCTGGGACCACAGGTGGAATAATTTAGAGTTCAGGATTGCTTTGTCAATAATGTCTCTGCTGTCGCAGGAAAGATAGTGCTAAGTTATACTGATGAAACTTAAACTGGACAAACAAGAAAATTTTTAACCCTCATGGCTGGGAAGTAATAAACTAAGTCCTAAATCTCGGAAAGAGCTACATAACTGAATATTCACACATTAAAGTAACTGGTCAATATGAATGTATTCTGTATATGATCATGTGGTAGAGGGTGCTGTAATACAAAGTATACTGTGTATTTCAATGATTATGAAGTAATTTCTATTCTTCACGTTACCTGTTAAAAATCAGTAAATCAGAAATGACTAGAATTAAGGATAAAATTGTTTCAACAAATACTTTAATGTTGCCTTTTGGAAGATGCCAGAATTTTTTCAATCTCCTTTTGCATCTCCTCAGTGTAAGGCTGGTGGCGGGCCTCCTCCCTTCCCTAGTTCAAAAAAAGAAAAGGCTCCTGAGATCAGACCTGCCAAGGACAAAACTGCCAGGCCCCACTGAGAGGATCCACACCCAGATGTCCACCTGGATAAGAATGTTTTGGCTCCTGGATTCCACAAATACTTCCAGTCCCTCCTTTCCTCAATGACCACCAAGGTCACAATGGAAAATCCCCAGCTCTTCCCCCCAAAAGTTTCTACCCAGGCCCAAAGGATATAAAAGGCCTCAGCCCCTTCAAAGGGGCGTGACTTCTGGGGCCCTCCTCTCTTTTGACCCCAGAACCTCCTCCACGAGTGTATAATAAAGCCTCATGGTTTGGCCCCAACTCTCTCCCTCTCTGTCTTTTCTTCTCACCGGGCTGAAATTCCTTACACTCAGTTTCCCTTGTTTCACTGAATCTTCTATCCCTGAGCCACTCCCAACCCCATCATGCCATTTAAAATGCACAGAGTGTGCAGAGAGTGATTGCTCACACCTGTAATCTTAGTATTGTGGGAGGCCCAGGCTGGATGATTATTTGAGGCTAGGAGTTTGAGACCAGCCTGAGCACCATAGCGCTGTCTTACAAAAAGTACAAAAATTGGCCAGATGTGATAGCAGTCTCAGATATTTGGGAGGCTTGAGGCAATAGGATCGCTTGAACCCAGGAGTTTGAGGTTGCAGTGAGCTCTAAAGATGCCACTGCTTCCTAGTGTAGGCAACAGAGCAGGACCCTGTCTCAAAAAAAAAAAAAAAAAGGTACCCATCAGTGCTTTCTTTCTAAAGTGATTATCTCAAAACTTATTTATCTCATATTTTCAGCAGGCCTTTTCTCAAGAGTCTATCAAATTCTGAGTATGCTACTGCATTAGTTGACCCTAACACAGTGAACAATGTGCACCACACACTATAACTTTTATCCTTTCTCCTAATAGAAATACAAATATTGATAGGTTTGTTACGTTTATAACTCAAATTATTTCTAAAATTGATAAAAAATTTGGAATGTTTAAGTGTGACTTATAAAAATAACTGATGTATCCTTGATTTAACAAATTAATGTATCTAAAAATCAATGAAGACAACTGAAATGGTGCTTTTATGATAATTTAGGGAGGTTTCCATTAATCTAAAGCAATTTAAATAACTTCACTGAAGTGATTAAGGGAATAGATTCATTGTGAGATTTAAGAAATGAATCCATACTGTTTAAAAGTATAAGTAGTTTATCACAAATTATATCAGATGAGTGAGATTGTATTTAATATATATTTTTTAAAAATTAAATATTAATCACACTTGCTTGTTTTCTTTCTGTATATTGTAGGTCCATCCACTAGATTGTTTATTTCTATCTCTATGTTAGATGCTGCGTTCCATAAATCATTTTATCTCTAAAGCAAGTTCATGGGTTTTGAGACTCCTCATGGAAATATGCAAGGCTCATTTTCTGTACTTACATATGAATAAACCCAATTTTATTGACTCATTTTTACTGACAACTAAAGGTTTTTTGGTAGTAACCTGCTGAGTGAGTTATTAAGGCTTACTAAATTTGGTATTCATAGACTAAAATTATTGTATTACTACAAATAACTGTGGATCCCATTCAGTACTCCATTAAATTGTCTAGGGCCACCAATTCTTCACAACTTTGTAAACTATTGCTCTATATGCACACATGCAGGCTTTTGGAATTCCCATAATATTCAAGAAGGCTGCATTCCTGACAGTTTATTACCAATGTTACATCAGGATGTTAATTATTATTAATTATTGCTATTCTTCTACTTACTACATTTTTAGAATTATGTGAGGTTTTACATTGTGCATTGTTTTGTACTTTTGTAATTGCTAGGTTTTATAATTTGGCTGTTATTTTTGGTTTTTCAATTATTTTTAAGTCACTAAACATTATTTGGTTCACTGGATTGGTTGGGTTCAGTTCCCCCTGAACCCAACCTGATTGAGCCTCCATTAAGAAATGAAAAAAAAAAGTTGAGAACAACAGCAGTCCTAAAATCATGGCATTGCCTTAATAGATTGAGTACTCGTTTGAGTAATTATAATATTAATTAACCATTTAAACCAAGGAAAGAAAGGTGCATGTTCTATGCCTAGTTTTAAACCTACCTTGTAATGAATTCTCTAATGAAGCTGGGTGATGTGATGTAAAGCACAACTCATTACTGATACTACTTACTGTATTTTGGGAGCATTATTGCTATAGTTTGGGTTGTTTGACCCCTCCAGATCTCATGTTGAAATTTAATCCTCAGTGTTGGAGGTGGGACCTAGTGGAATATGTTTCTGATCATAGGAGCAAATCCCTCATGATTGGCTTGGTGCTCTCCTCATGGTAATGAGTGAGTTCTCACTCTGTTAGTTTCTATGAAAGCTGGTGGTTAAAGAGCCTGGTACC